AAAAAAAAAAAAAAAAAAAAGCCAGACACAAAGGAACATATACTCTGTGATTCCATTTATGTAAAGTGGGTAATAGGCCAAACTAGTCTATGGGGTTAGAAGACAGAATAGTGGGGCACGGTGGCTCATGCCTGTAATTCCAGCACTTTGGGAGGCCGAGGTGGGCGGATCACCTGGGGTCAGTAGTTCGGGACCAGCCTGGCCAACGTGGCAATACTCTGTCCATACTAAAAACATAAAAATTAGCCGGGTGTGGTGGCACATGTCTGTAATCCCAGCTACTCAGGAGGCAGGAAAATTGCTTGAACCTGGGAATCGGAGGTTGCAGTGAGCCCAGATGGCGCCACTGCCCTCCAGCCTGGGCAACAGGCTGAGACTTCCTCTCAACACAAGCAAACAAACCAAAAACACACTTGGCCAGCTTTTTTGCTTTTTGTTTTGCAAATTAGGAGTCCACCTGGTGGTCACAGGGGGAAAGGCATTCTGGGAAAGGATACCAGGATACAGAAAGCAATGGAAGAAACAGCATTATCTCTTCTTACAGGTTCTTCATCTCCTGTCCCCAGACTTCTTAGAGTTATTCCTGTTGGGTCGGGTGCGGTGGCTCACGCCTGTAATCCCAGCACTTTGGGGGTCTGTGGTGGGCAGATCACGAGGTCAAGAGATTGAGACCAGCCTGGCCAGCATGGTGAAACCCTGTCTCTACTAAAAATACAAAAAATTAGCTGGGTGTGGTGGCATGCGCCTGTAGTCCCAGCTACTGGGGAGTCTGAGGCAGGAGAATCATTTGAACCTGGGAGGCAGAGGTTACAGTGAGCCAAGATCGAGACACTGCACTCCAGCCTGGGCAACAGAGCAAGACTCCATCTCAAAAAAAAAAAAAAAAAAAAAAAAAAAGAATTATTCCTGTTTGTGTATATCTTCTTCTAAGGTCGGGTGGGGTGTCATGGATTCTTAAGGTGTTAGGTAGGGCCCTGATCTCTAAGAAGACCTCTCAGAGGAGGAGACTTCTGAGCTGACAGGAGATTTCTCAGCTTCTCTAGTTGGTGGATTCTTGCCTTGTCCTCACTCTGATATCCCCTCACATCCTGGAGGAGTCTGGGTTGCTCTTGACCCATCCTGCCCCTGGTAGGACTCCCGTGACATCACTTCCATCCCTAGCCCTGGTCTCTGCTCCCACTGCTGGAATGTTTCCCAGCTTGCTTGGCTGTAAACCGAAGGCAAGTTGCCATTTTTGAGCCAGTTCCCTCATCTACAAAATAGGAAGGGTAATTCTTACCTCCTAAAAATTGTTGTGAGTGTTAAATAAAATACGTCTGCAAAGCATTAAGCATAATTCGTGGCCTATAGTAAATATTCAGTAGGTGATGGTTATTTCAATTCACCCTCTCTCACTACCCCTCTGTAGAAAGTAGAAAAAGTTCCTTTTCAAAGCTTGCCTCTCTGTTTTTTTATTTTGTTTTTGTTTTTTGAGATGGATTCTCACTCTGTCTCCCAGGCTGGAATGCAGTGGAGAGATCTTGGCTCACTTGCAACCTCTGCCTCCCAGGTTCAAGTGATTCTGCTGCCTCAGCCTCCTGAGTAGCTGGGATTACAGGTGTGCGCCACCATGCCCAGCACGATTTTGGGTCATGAAAACCGCCGCCTGCCAAGTTCAAGCAATTCTCCTGCCAAAATGGCCTGGCATCGGACTCTAAATGTCCAGCTCAGGACCCGCAGCGGGATAATAATATTGCAGCCCACTGGGACAACATGAAAGATTTGAGAGAAATGATAATTAAAGGAACTGAGGAGTCAGTGCCCTGACCTCAAAATCTTTCTAAAGCTTTTGATGTACAACAAGAAAAAGATGAAGGATCTATGAAATTTTTAGACAGAGCAAGAGAACAAATGAGAAAATACACTGATTAGGCCCATAAAGGCCCCCTGGACAAGGAATGTTAAAATTGCATTTTGTTACTAATAGTTGGCCAGATATTGCAAAGAAATTGCAAAAGCTAGAGAATTGGAAAAATTGGTCAATAGAAGAACTCTTTTTTTTTTTTTT